AAATTTGTTGTCTCTCTCTTTCATGAATATGAAGAGTGTAATAGGGTCCAATAGATTTATTACCTTCTAACAGAAGCTAAAGCTCATGGTGAGAGAAATGAATGGTATCCGCTTCATGCCTTCTCTCGCTCGCTTAAATATTAAGTTTGACAGTAAACTGTCATAAATCGCATATTGCAGAGAGACACGGCAAGGCACAGGTACAATTGTCACTCAAGAGACACTCAGTCGATATGCGTAACATACATCTGTGGGTCTGCCTTTTTAACCTCTCCAGATGAGCTGAGAGTTATTCCAAAGCATATAATTTCTTCATAATCCTTACTATCTTCCTGTTATGACCTCTAGTTGTAAAAAGGAAACGTGCTCTGGTTATAATTCATTAAAGCCTTTCCAACCAGACCACTAAAGGAGTTGTACTTAGAAAAAACAAAGGCTTTAAAATAAAAATTAAAAATGCCTCTAAGAATTTAATGCTAAAAAGCAATCAGTAGATGCCGAAAGACTGTATGTTAATTTTATATAAAAGATCTACAAGCCTGCCTTTCTTGCAGGGAGCTGGGACTGAAGGTGTGTAGCAACAATAAAAATAATGCAAAAACTGAAAGATAACAAAATTCAAACAACCCTCCGAAAAAGGCTAAGTTTCAAGGCATCCACAAAACTATCATCTTGAAACTTTTTTCCTATTAACAATTTTTAGAATATAAGTTTGACTGTGTCTTTTATAGGGTTGGGGGCAGGGCACTTTCAGGCCAAGAGCATGTGAAGGATGAGCACCATTGCAGGAAAGAGCTTGGTGTTTTCTGGGATTTAACTCAATGAAGAATGGAACAACTCAGTCTAAGGACGCAGGAAGGCACATTTAGGAGATGAAGCTCCTATGACATGCAGGACACAAACAGTGATGGTGATTCTCCCAGACTCCACAATGAATCTCCATCCAGAGTTCAAGAAATTGCTAGTGGAAAATATATGGGGTAATGCGGTTTCTTAACTACTTTTTGCTTGGTGTCTTAAAATCGGATCCTTAATGGCCCATTTGTTTCTTTGTCGTAAACAGAAAGGGATGTCTAGCATCATTAGTCTTTTTCCCCTTCTCATCCAGCCCTTGTAATTACTGCTTCACTACCTACCGCTTACATATTCAAGCCATGGCTGACTTTTTAATTGAGTGTGTGGCAGCATGAGGTGATTTCCCAAAGAGACTGCTGTGTATGAGGCAGTATCACAAAAACAGCAAAACCTAAGGAAATTGTGTTATGATTGGATTATGATACATGCTTCGTATTTCTTTATTAAAATATACCCTGCCTTTCCTCTTGGCTCAAGGCGGCTGTATGGTAAATTGCAGCCACTGTGAGCATCTGAGTTCATTGTTGTGATACCTGTGCATGCACAGACCTGTCACAGAGAGATTTTTTTAAAGTTCAGAAAAGCCTTGAGGTACTCTGTCCCCCTCCCCCACACTGTTTCTTGCCTTTTCCAGTATGATAAGGAATGGGTGGAACACCTTTTCCTTCAGTTCTTTCTTTGCCCCCACTGAGAGAGGCTCATTGACAAGAAGGTCCATCTTTTCTACTCTCAGCTATTAACTGCCAACAACTAACTAGCTCTCCTCTGTCCTGTGTAGATGGTGACCAAAAAAATGGCACAAAAAGTGCTTTTCAAGAAATGCAGAAACTGTGGGTCAAAAATCCCCATCATGAGCAATACTTTTTATGCTTTGGCAAAGAGCACAACGTTACACACTGCTCTGTTTGTCTCCAATTCACTCCCAAGGCAAGACATGACAGAACTTCCCGCCTAAAAGCAGTACTTTGAGGGAAAGCGCTATCCAGCACCTCTCAAGACAAAGATCTGAGCAATACACCGCTTTCCACCACTGACAGATCCAAGCTGCCTCAGTTCCAGCAGTTCCAAGACTAAACTTGACTACTGCAAACCTGATTAAAAATATCGGGAAAGTCACAGGCTTTGACCTGCGTTCCCGGAGTGCAGCTCCTTGGAACCACCTCTGAAAAAGGCACATCTCAAACATAAACACCTGGAGAGGCCTCCTAAGCCAAAGTTGTTGTCTACCCCTTCCCACACCCATCATAAGAACGTGGCCCCATGGAAATTGGTGCTCCAACTGGTCAAAGAGGCAGTCCCCATTCCAAGAACACCTTCTTTGTCATGTTGCTCACCACCGTCATCCTCTTTACCTCAGAAAGAGAAGTGCAGGACTCAGAATCTCCTATCCCGTGTCATCAACCCCCCTGCATCTTACCATTCAGAACCACTGCTCCAATCGGTTCCAATGGATTTGTATTTACTCTTATCCTGATCACTATGCCAAGGTCTCCAGGATGACTACTATGACCAGGGCTGGGATCAATGTCCCCTCTAAGCTGTGGAGCCCTGTGGGCAAAAATTCTACTTTGGGAGCTACTGGCATTAAAGTTGTGAGCGAGCGTTTTGGCCACTGCATAAATTAGTTTTGCTCTGGAGCCATCCCTTCCTGAGCAAAGACTAAAATGTGTGAGCCGGAGGCTAAAAAACTGTGAGCTAGCTCACACTAACTCAGCTTAGGGGGAACACTGGCTGGGATCTATCTGCTCCCCTCAGTTTAGTGTTGCCAGCTCCGGGGTGGAAAATACCTGGAGATTTGGGGGTGGAGCCTGAGGAGGGGTTTGGGGAGGGGAGGGACTTCTGTGAGATATAATGACAGAGTCCACCTTCCACCGTGGCCATCTTCTCCAGGTGAACTGATCCCTGTTGCCTGGAGATCAGTTGAAATAGTGTGAGATCTCAAGCTACCACCTGGAGATTGGCAAGCCTAGCTCAGCTCCTACCGGGCAGAAGGGGAGCCCTTTCTGACAGATGATCCAGACTGACCCCCAAACCCACACAAAGACCTCCAGTCTCTGGGTGATCTGGCCTTCAGGTACGATCAACCTCCTTAGGAGGACAGAGAGCCAGACTACGGCTCAGAATCTTCACCTGAGGACATCATGTCAGAACCATCAATATACTCTCCTCGTGAAAATCTATGCCTGTATAATGAGCAACTCAATCGGATGGCGAGATCCCTAGAAATGAAGGTTTTATACACACCCCAGAGGGCGACGGATCCAATATTCAGTGTCATGCATTCCAGGAATACTGGACCTGTTACCTTCCCAATAATGGAGGGTCTGCTTGAAGACATGACTGAACCTTAGCTCTGCCTGGCATCAGTCACCTTCTGCTAGGTGTACTGAAAACCCATACAGAACCAAGAAGGATGTCCCTTCCTGTTTTAGCACCTCATGGCTAATTCCTTAGTTGTAGATCACATTCAGGGGAAGAACAAGGACACCCAGCATCCGGCCCCTATTGACAGCGAAGGGCACAAATTAGAAGCAATAAGAAGACAAATCTACGCCTCTTTCTTCTTTGCCTTCAAGACTGCCAGTTATCTATCAACTTTTCCTTTGGGATTGCATCACCCCTCACCTAGAAATGTAGCTGGATGACGAGCGCAAATTGGCAAAACTCCTAGCCCTAGAAGCATCAGAGCTCTCTAAGCACCAAATTCCTGCAGCTAGACATTCAACCAGTTGTGCAGCTTGTAACCTCACCACAGCAGCTGTACTCTGTAGACACTCCAGGCTCAGATCCACAGCACTCCCTGAAGAAACCCATGCCAGAATTAAGGACCTACCCTTCAAGGGCAAGGACCTGTTCAGTTCCAACACTGATGATATCCTTAACAAGATATGAAAGGACAGTCTTACAGCTAAGATTCGAGGGGTGATCTCCTCTACCTTCTCTACTAAGCCTAGACCCTACTATAGGCCATAGTATTCTAATTCCAGAGGAAGAAGCCATCCCTTGGCTCACCCTTTGTATCAAAGCAGGCCTCTCTGTATACCTACCAGCCAACAACCTATCCAACAGAAGAGAAAGTTCCCCGCTCAGAGGAGCAAAATCAGACCACAGTCACCCAAAGCTCATCAACCTGCCAAACAGGGTTTTTGACAATTGCAGTCCAGTGAATCAGCCAACAGAGGATTGGTGTCCTTACTACTCAATGGGTGCTCAGCATCCAACTCCAATTCACTGGACAAGTAAATAACCACAGAATGCTGTGGCAGTAGAAATGTTTCTGTTTCTGTTTCTGATTTGGTTTGTAATCTTCCTATTATTGTCTATTAAAAATAATTTACAATCAAGAGTGCTTTCTAGCCTCATACAATGTCTGATTCCTACAACATGTGGATGGCAAGTTGCTTAGGAGTTGCGGGGTTTCTAATTTAAGTCCTCTGCTTCCCTCTGCTGGCCACATCAAATATTACATGGTTCTGTTGCAAATGGACTGCACAATAAACTGACAAAAATATATTTGCCTTTTTAGGCATGCAATATGTTTGCAGTTTTTATTGATCTTTGCAAATAACCCCATTAGGTAGTTTATGCTAAGATACAATGAGATGACCTGTTGATCTTAAACTGAATCCCAATGGAATATTAAAAAGCTTCGGAGGTCTTGCTGTTACTATACAAGGTTTGCTTCCAATGCAAAAAGAATATGATGATTAGGGTGACTAGTCTTCACTAAATTAGTACTTTACAAACATTAATGAGGCCCTGCCTTGCAAGAAAGTACCAAAAACATATTGGCTATATTTAAGTAACGGAGAGGGTTTTTTACCTAGAGCTCTTGTCTTCTCCTGATTATGGATGCTGCTTGTGTCTGCTTAATGTGTAATTTTCAAGTTTGAATTAATAAGCAGTCTCCATTTTATTGTGTAGTGCTGAATAATGGCTTTACACTCTGGCCGTAAATCTTGTGATGGCTTCATATACTTATAAAATATGAATGATTTGTCTCGTATTGTTCTGCAGTAGTAAACCCTCTAGCCCTTGGAGCAAATCACTGAACTTCCCTTGGTGGCTTAACCTTGATTTAAATATTTGCATTAAGTGGCCATCTGCATTCTCAACTCAGTGTCTTTTTCTCTCTGTTTTCATAGGTACTTGGAACCCCAAATGAAGATACCTGGCCTGGAGTCCATTCTCTACCCCATTTCAAGCCTGGTAGGTTTCAAGACATTGCAGAGAAGGGGACCTGTAAGGGACTCATGGGGAAGAGAAGATTTAATTCTCCCCCCCCCCCCCTTTTCTAGGAAGATCAGTAGTGGCTCAGGGCTGAGAACTCACAAGCCATCACCGATCTCCTGGCTGTTCTTCTACCTCCCCCAGAGCCCTCTCCCCGTATTTCCCCCCCCCTTAAATCCTGACACAGCCAGCTGTTCACCCAAACCATACTTTCTCCCTCCACTTACACATTCCTGCCTTCTCTCTCTGCTTACCTGTTTCTGATGTCCGATGCCCCTGAGATTTCCCTCTGCCCCCGCAGCAAGGTCTGTGCAGATATGGCTGTTCTCATTGGGGTGCCAGTGAAAGGTTTAATTCCTTCAATTTTAAAAAACAGTAAAGATTGTTCTGCAAGCCTCAGAGGTGCTCCTGGGTTTGTAAATAAATTTGCCTACCCATACATGGTCATGTTTCGTGGACTTTGACCCACACTCTGGGCCCAGTTCAGAATGAGAATATTAAAATCTCATCAAAAAACCCTTTAAAAAGATTTTGCCTAAAAAGTGTACTTGTTTTAAAGGGCATCTGCTTTGTTGTTGTGGACACTGGTGTCATTCAGAAAATACTGTGTATTTGTTGTTCAGTCGCACAGTCGAGTCCGACTATTTGCGACCCCATGGGCCAGCTCCCGCCAGGCCCTCCTGTCTTCTGCCGTCCTCTGAAGTTTGCTCAGTTTCATGTTCGTTGCATCTATGACACTGTCTAACCATCTCATCCTTTGCCGTCCCCGTCTTCTTTGACCTTCAATCTTTCCCAGCATCAGGGTCTTCTCCAGTGAGTGCTCCCTTCTTATTTGGTGGCCAAAGTATTTGAGCTTCAGTTTCATTATCTGGCCTTCCAGGGAACAGTCAGGGTTGATTTCTTTTAGGATTGACTGATTTGATCTTCTTGCAGTCCAAGGGACTCTCAAGAGTCTTCTCCAGCACCATAGTTCAAAAGAGTCTATTCTTCAGCGCTCGGCCTTCCTTATAGTCCAACTCTCACAGCCATACATGACTACTGGGAATACCATTGCTTTGACCATGCGGACTTTTGTTGGCAGGGTGATGTCTCTACTTTTTATCATGCTGTTTAGGTTCGCCATCGCTTTCCTCCCAAGGAGCAGGCGTCTTTTAATTTCATGGCTGCTGTCACAGTCTGTGGTGATCTGGGATCCCAGGAACGTGAAGTCTGTCACTACTTCCACGACTTCCCCTTCTATTTGCCAAGGAGTGATGGGGCCGGATGCCATGATCTTAGTTTTTTTTATGTTGAGCTTCAAGCCCACTTTTGCGCTCTCCTCTTTCATTCTGAGCAAGAGGCTCTTTAGGTCCTCTTCACTTTCTGCCATTAGAGTGGTATCGTCTACATATCTGAGGTTGTTGATCTTTTCCCCAGCAATCTTAATTCCCGCTTGTGATTCATCCAGGCCAGCATTTCGCATGATGTACTCTGCATATATATTAAATAAGCAAGGCGACAATATACATCCTTGTCGTACTCCTTTTCCTATGCTAAACCAATCAGTTGTTCCATATCCGGTTCTAACTGTCGCTTCTTGGCCCTTATACAGGTTTCTCAAGAGACATGTGAGGTGGTCTGGTACTCCCATCTCTTTAAGGACCTGCCATAGTTTGTTGTGATCCACACAGTCAAAAGCTTTAGCATAGTCAATGAAGCAGAAGTAGATATTTTTCTGGTACTCTCTTGCTTTCTCCATAATCCAGCGAATGTTGGCAATTTGATCTCTAGTTCCTCTACCTCTTCGAAACCCAGCTTGTACTTCTGGCAGTTCTCTATCCACGTACTGTTGAAGCCTAGCTTGTAGGATCTTGAGCATGACCTTGCTAGCGTGTGATATGAGTGCAATTGTGCGATAGTTTGAACATTCCTTGGCATTGCCCTTCTTTGGGATTGGAATGTATACTGACCTTTTCCAATCCTGTGGCCACTGTTGCGTTTTCCAAATTTGCTGGCAAATGGAGTGCAGCACTTTAACAGCATCATCTTTTAAGACTTTGAATAGCTCAGCTGGAATACCATCACCTCCACTAGCTTTGTTGTTAGTAATGCTTTCTAAGGCCCATTTAACTTCACATTCCAGGATGTCTGGCTCGAGGTCAGTGATTATACCGTCGTGGTTGTCAAGGACATCGAGGTCTTTCTTGTATAGTTCTTCTGTGTATTCTTGCCATCTTTTCCTAATCTCTTCTGCTTCTGTTAGGTCCCTACCGTTTTTGTCCTTTATCATGGCCAGCTTTGCATGGAACGCTCCCTTGATTTCTCCAACTTTCTTGAAGAGATCTCTAGTCCTTCCCATTCTATTGTTTTCTTCTATTACTTTGCACTGTTCATTCAGGAAGGCCTCCTTATCTCTCCTTGCTGTTCTCTGGAAATCTGCGTTCAGTTGGGTAAATCTTTCCTTTTCGCCTTTGCCTTTCGCTTTCCTTCTTTCCTCTGCTATTTGTAAAGCCTCATCAGAAAGCCACTTTGCTTTCTTACATTTCTTTTTCTTTGGGATGGTGGTGATTGCTGCTTCCTGTACAATGTCACGAACCTCTGTCCATAGTTCTTCAGGCACTCTATCTATCAAATCCAGACCCTTGAATCTATTCTTCACCTCTACTGTATATTCATCAGGGATGCGATCTAGGTCAAACCTGAATGGCCTCGTGGTTTTCCCAATTTTCTTCAGTTTAAGTCTGAATTTTGCAATGAGTAGCTCATGATCTGAACCACAGTCAGCTCCAGGTCTTGTTTTTACTGACTGGATAGAGCTTCTCCATCTTTGACTGCAAATTATATAGTCAATCTGATTTCGGTGTTGCCCATCTGGTGATGTCCATGTGTAGAGTCGCCTCTTAGGTTGTTGGAAAAGGGTGTTCGCTATGACCAGTGTGTTCTCTTGACAAAACTCTGTTAACCTTTGCCCTGCTTCATTTTGCTTTCCAAGGCCAAACTTGTCTGTTATTCCAGTTACCTTTTGACTTCCTACTTTAGCATTCCAGTCCCCTATGATGATGAGGACATCATTTTTTGGTGTTAGTTCTAGGAGGTGTTGTAGGTCTTCATAGAACCGGTCCACTTCAGCCTCTTCTGCATCAGTGGTTGGGGCATACACTTGAATTACTGTGATGTTGAATGGTTTGCCTTGGAATCGGACAGAAATCATTCTGTCATTTTTGAGATTGTATCCCAGTACTGCCTTTTGCACTCTCTTGTTGACTATAAAGGCCACACCATTTTTTCTACGAGATTCCTGGCCACAGTAGTAGATATAATGGTCTTCTGAGTTAAATTCGCCCATTCCTGTCCACTTTAGTTCACTGATTCCTAGGATATCGATGTTCAGTCTTGCCATCTCATTTTTGACCACGTCAAGCTTACCTTGATTCATAGATCTTACATTCCAGGTTCCTATGCAGTATTGTTCTTTGCAGCATCGGACTTTCCTTTCACCATCAGACACATCCACAAGGCAGTGATCCTTTATATTTATATATATATATATATAAATATAATCAAATATAATAAATAAAAATAATGTTGTTAGCATTTTCACTACTGCTTAAGCATCACTGAATTTGCTTTAGCTTCATAAATACTATGAGCATAGGTGCCATTTACATTTTATGGCCAGACCTGTTGTGTGTGTTGTGGTAATGTTTACATGCTCCTTTTTAGCTGTTTACAGGGTGGCTTACATAGGCACAACAGTGCAATAAAATACACAAGATTAAAACAATTAAGGCACAAGAGTGCAATAGGAATAAAGCACGTTAAAACAATTAGGACACAAATCACATCTTACAGGATACATCAGCGACTAAAATACGCACTCCCTATTGTCTATCACAGTGGGATCCAAGAGGGGGGATGCCCTGGGCCAAGATGTTCCAGATGGCCAATCGGCCCAACCCGGCGGAACTGGTGGTGGTGGCGGCGGCTCCTACTCAAAAGCCTTAAGTTTAAGTCATTTTTAAGTGTGTTTAAGAGAGTGCAGAAAGAGTTATGCCTTTGACAATCATAGACCTAATAAGCAGATCAATTTGTTTTAGTAAAACTAGGTACTATCAAGCTAATAAGTTTATGTGAGAGAAATGCCTTTCTGAAGCCTGCATGTATAGTCTGTGCCCCTTTCCCCCAAAAAATGATATTCCAGAATATATACTAAAAGCTTGGTTAGGCAGGACCCATTGAAAATTGGGTTGCCAGTTAACCAAATATGCCAGTGAATGAAGCTTTTTTCCAGTTTGCAGCCAAGACATTGTTAACCAAATACCAGTCAATAACGCTTCTACAGTAGGATGACTATAGATTGTTTCAGTGTCTGCTTGATTATTCTATATAACTGATACTTCTTGTAGTGACCACATGAAATCATAACAATAGTAACAGGTGAATTATTACTGTGTACAAATACGAAAGTAATATAAGATGTATCCAATTAAGACTGATGAATCAATCTGAGAGAAGGATTACATGTTTCAATCTCTATTCTTTGCTAACATATTAATTTTCGCTGGGAGTGATATATATGTGTGTGTGTGTATATATACACACACACACATATGCACACACATACATTACATACATTAAGCAAAAATGGCCTTGTAAATAAGCAGTGCAAATTGTACAGCCTGCATATTGAAAATGGTTCCAAATTAAATCTAACTTGCACCTTTAATTATTTTTTTAAAAAAAACCCAGCCTTTAGTCTGTATAAAAAGAATTCTGGGTGCATATAGCATTGGCCTGGTTATACCACATTCTTTCAAACATGTAGTTAAGTTTCAGCCATTGCCCTGTGTGAGCCATGATGCCACACAAGTCGTACAAGCTCACCAAATATGTCTGTCTGTCTATCATTTACCATGTCATAATGGGCTAGGGCTAGGCTGGCCTCTCTCTCCCTCTGCCTGTTTCTGGCTGAGACAGGAGTCTCAGAGGAGCCCTGTACC